GGCCTGGCGCCGGCCGGGTCTCGCGTGCGCTGGTTGCTGAGGCTCCGCGCGCGTTTGCGGGCGCGGCGCGCCCACTGCTCCGCAGCTCCGCTGGAGTTTCATCCCTTCCGAAAGCGCAGGCTTTTTTGTGATGAAGCCCAGGCTGTTGACTTTTCTTCCGTGTCTTTGGGCATCTTATCCAAACCCCGGGGTGAGACTCGCTCCTCGGATCTCTTCTGAAAGTCTGCCTTGGAGATGGGCACTCGAGCCGGAGGGGAATCCGGCAGAATTCCCCGTCCACACTACGTGGGAGGGAGGCGGAGGAGGGTAGCAGGGCCGGGAAGCACGGCGTTCCTGAAGCCCCTTCGTTTGACTGCAGGTGCTGGCTCCTTGTCGGTCTTCTCTGGTCTCACAGGAAAGGGGAGCCGGCCCACCACCGCGGTCAGTGCACCCGCCCAGCTGCCCCTCCCCGATGAAATAACTGCAGCTGACTACCTTTTGTAGTCAAAAGATCTCCATTTTAAACCACAGGCCTGGGAGGGGCGGCCTGGCCTGGGACAAGAGCGAGTCTGCGCCAAGATGCTGGAGGAGGACATGGAGGTGGCCATCAAGCTGGTGGTGGTGGGGAACGGGGCGGTGGGCAAGTCGAGCATGATCCAGCGGTACTGCAAGGGCGTCTTCACAAAGGACTACAAGAAAACCATCGGAGTGGACTTTCTGGAGCGACAGATCCAGTATGTACCTGACTGTTCCATTCATTTCTCTGGATTTGTAATGTAAGACCCTCACTGGAGTCATAGCGGATCATCACAGTGCAGTCCGTGGTCACAGCTAGGACAGCTGTTTCACAACGGTCTCACCGTGTGGCCCAGCCCATACTCCTTTTGCAGCTTGTTCTGGGATACCAGGGTTACAGGCCTGAGCCGCCATGCCAGGCCTAACCATAAACATCTTTATCCTTATTTCTTGCTCCTTAGTTTTCCTTTTTTTTTGGCTGGTCATGGGGCTTGAACTCGAGGCCTGGGCACTGTCCTGAGATCTAAGGCTTGCTGTATACCACTTTGGGCCAAAGCTCTGCTTCTGGTTTTTGAGTGTTTAATTGGAGATAAGAGTCTCCTGGGGACTATTCTGCCTGGGCTGGCTTCAAACTGCAATCCTCAAATCTCAGTCTCTTGAGTAGCTAGGTTACAGAGGTGAGCCACTGGTGCCTGGTCTATTTTTCATTTTTTCTGCTTTTCTCTCATTTTTTTTCCTTTTACCTACTTTTTTTCCTTCTCATATGTTTTATAGTTATTAATTACATTTTGGGTACTTCTTAAACACAGACTGATGTTCTGATTGATATTTCTATTTTTTTTTATTTAGAAGTTATACATGTCTCTAAATTATGTTTCCTCTCTTTGTAAAATTAGACAAGAGTACAAAGAGAAGTTGGAGAGCAAATAATTTGCTTTTATTCCAAAGAAATAAATCAGATTTAGGAGGATCAAATATGCCTATGAAAAGAAACTCTTTAGGGAATTTAATTGGATTCTAAAACCCTTATAGTAATGCCTTTTGTTATTAGTTTTGAGAAACTTTCAAGACTATTTTAGGTTTTAAAATAATGTACTACAGAGCTGGGTGCCAGTGGCTCATGACTGTAATCCTAGCTACTCAGGAGGCTGAGATCTGAGGATCGCAGTTCAAAGCTAGCCCAGGCAGGAAAGTATGTGAGACTCTTATCTCCATGGTGCTGTGGCTCAAGTAGTAGAGTGCTCACCTTGAACTGAAGAGCTGATGGACAGTGCCCAGGCCCAGAGTTCAAGCGCCAGGACTGACCAAAAAAAGGGTGTTATAGACATAAGAAACATTAAACAAAACACAGGGAAAAGCTGTCTTCGTCATTACAAAGATAATTTTGAATCTGTATCCTATTATCTGTGCTCTGTACTTTTTATTTGCTTCCTTTCTCTAAACATGCTTTAAGTAGCCTCAGCTGTAAGTCTTGATGTTTTTGTACTTATTGCCTGAAATCAGGTAATATACAATACATAGTTAGTATATAGTTAATCCTGACTGTTCAGCTACTTGCTAAAATCTGTCCACTTGTAGTGCTGGTTGGTCATTTGTGGATAGATACAGGAGTTTCCCAGCTTATACTTCTCAGCTGAGACCAAGCTCAGTCTCCGGCTTCAGCTCTTACACAGTAAGAATGTGTCCTTTCTGTAATGCTCTGCACAATGTCACCTTTTTCACTTTTTTGCTTTTTGAAATTGTCCCCCCCAGTGCAGTGCTGAGTGCTGTCTACCTTCCTAACAGCAAGGAGGCTATGAAGTATTTCCTACAGAGAAAATACATGGGTTAGATAGATAAGCTTTGTGCAGACAGGACTTACAGTGGTTTGATCTGTAGTGCTGTTGGGCATGAACTTATGCTAAATTATATTAATAAGGTGTCTCTAAACAGAAATATACATAAAGCTAGGTATTGATCAGTTAGAAAAAAATTATAAAGGATTTTTTTCTCCTTCTTTTTCAAGGCAGAGACTGATGCAGCTCAGGTTGGGCTCAGATATACTATGTAGCCCAAGCTGACCTTGAACTTGTAATTTTCCTCTCCCCAGTACTGGGCTTATAGCCACCACACCTGTACTAAGAATCTACTTCAGTATGGTTCAGTATTTGGTAATTCAGTATTGATGGAGCTCAGAGGTGGAGTACTTGCCTAGCACACAGAAGGTCCTAGGTTTGAACCCAGAGAAACAGAAACAACCCACAACATAGTGCCATCTGGGACACAAATGCTTTGAGTAATCAACTTTATAACAAAGTAAATTTTCTCGTGAGAGGGCAGTGAAGCTTCTTGCCCGTATTCTCATGTTTATGAAGCGCCAAAGCCCACTAGAGTGGGCAGGAGGAGACGGCAGTGGCTAGGGTCGCGTCCGCCCGGCCCTTAGTGCGCATGACCATTGTTAAAGAAAACCATTCCATTGCACAGCAGTTCCACTGTCACTGCTGCAGCTAGTCCAGCATTAAAGGGCCTCAACTCCACGTTCACAGTAATGCTCACAAGGTAGCTTTAATGCCTGTGGATTTGAAAAACAAAAATATGCACAAAGCGTTATAAAAAAAACTTCATGAATCCATCTCTTTCAGAGTTAACGATGAGGATGTCAGACTAATGTTGTGGGACACTGCAGGTCAAGAGGAATTTGATGCAATAACAAAGGCCTACTATCGAGGTAAAATGTGGTGCTGATTTGTCTGTCATGTTCTTTGCTTTCTTTCCCATGTAAACTCTTCCCTGTGAGAATCGTTATAGTAGGTCGGGGAAATGCAGTTCAGAGGTAGAGCACTCACCTAACGGCATGAAGCTCTAGGTTTCATCCCCTGCAATGAGACAGAACAAAGTTAAAATAATTTCAAGGTATTCTTGAAGCCCAGCTCCTCATTCTGCACTCCTGTGAAATGGGAAGCACCATTTTATATTTAAACAGTGGGCCCTGTCTCATATGACTTCTGTCTTGTTTTCAGTGCTAGGCGTAGATCTGGGGCCTGGGGTGTGCTGGGCCTGGGGTGTGCTGGGCCTGGGGTGTGCTGGGTCTGGGGTGTGCTGAGCCTCGGGTGCTGGGCCTGGGGGGTGCTGGGCCTGGGGGGTGCTGGGCCTGGGGTGCTGGGCCTGCGGGGTGCTGGGCCTGCGGGGTGCTGGGCCTGAGGTGCTGGGTCTGGGGTGTGCTGAGCCTCGGGTGCTGGGCCTGGGGTGTGCTGGGCCTGGGGGGTGCTGGGCCTGGGGTGCTGAGCCTGCGGGGTGCTGGGCCTGCGGGGTGCTGGGCCTGGGCGTCAGGCACACTGGGCCTGGGGTGCTGGGTCTGGGGTGTGCTGGGCCTGGGCGTCAGGCACACTGGGTCTGGGGTGTGCTGGGTCTGGAGTGTCAGGCACGCTGGGCCATGGGCCCGGGCAGGCCTCTGCTCCCCGGGGAGCCCTGAACCCACAGCCCCGGACGCCAGCCGGCCAGAAAAGTGTGTGAGACTCCTATCTCCAAAATAACCAGAAGAAAAAAAACAAACCCAGCCCAAGGTTTAGAGAAGCAGATGAGCAAGCAAGTCAAGTGGGCCTGAACTCTGGGTTGGGCGCTGCCCCTCAGCTCTTCAGCTCAAGGCGAGCACTCTACCACTCAAGCCACAGCACCACTTCCAGTTTTCTGGTGGTTTATTAGAGATAAGAGTCTCACGGACTTTCCTGCCCGGGCTGGCTTTGAACGGCGATCCTCTGATCTCAGCCTCCTAAGTAGCTAGGATTGCAGGTGTGAGCCGCCAGCGCCGGGTGAGCTTTCTCGTTTTCTAAACTGTAAAGGTGAATATTTACTTACCACAATCAAAATTAATGTGTCTGAGGAATGTCAGACCAAACGTCCCTTTGTGGATCACTTTGGGGTCTGTCAGAATGGTTTGGGTTGCTAAACACAGAAACAGAATCCTTTTCAAACTGGCTTTACAGACTAGGAAGGTGGTTCAGTGGTAGAATGCTTGCCTGGCATGCATGAGGCCCTGGGTTCAATTCCTCAGCACCACAAGCCAGAAGTGGTGCTGTGGCTCAAGTGGTAGAGCGCTAGCCTTCAGCTTGAAGAGCTGAGGGTCAACGCCCAGGTCAAATTTAGGCCCCATGACTGTCAAAAGAAAAAAAAAGAGAATCAAACTGGCTTTATACATGAGGTATACTGAATTGTTTCCTGGAAAAGAAGTTGTTTGTTCAGACTACAGCCTTCCTGATCTCCTGTGCGGAGTTCCTCCTGCTGATTTTCTTGCTGGTCTCAAGCAAGGACACCCACAGCCTTGTATATTTTGGCTGAAACAACCACAGTTTCTGCATACTGTTTACCCTGATTGCTTAAACCTGTCTGAACAACACCACATCTTCTTCTCCAGACAAGCACTTTGTCATTTCTTTGTTCTTTGCTTATTCTATCCCTTATAAATAACTGGGGAGATTATAGACATTTTTTTCTTTTACTCTTTGCCTTATTCTTACTGCTAATATCTGGAACCATCCACTTACAGACTTTTTTTTTTTTAAACTATATGAATCCTCTAAGATTGTTGGTTTTGTTTTTCAGAGTCAGATCTTACACACTTGGGAAATCCTATTAGGCCCTTGAATGTGAATGTAGTTGATTGCATCTGCAGTTCTTGGTTTCAGGCTAACAAATAGAGTTTTATAATAAAGAAATGATTATAACATGATTTAAGTCATGCTTACAGTGACTATACAGTGTTTTATTTGTAGTCTTGGTAAATATTAGAATTCAAATAAATATACATTTATGTATCTAAACATTAATATAATCTTCAGTTCAAATTCTCCTCAAATCTTGAAATGTGAGGATCAGTTGTTTCCCTCCCTTTCCCTCCATTTTTCTCCTTTGTGTGTGTGTGTATTCTGTATAGCTAATGCATTTGCAGTGAGTTCTTAGAATAGTAAGGATTTACCTTCTGCTTTACAGCAATAAAAACACTGATGGTTATAGTTTAGGTAGTCCAGGCATGCTTTAACCCAAGATGGTTCTGAAGGACAGAACGTAAGGAGCAGCGCCTGGGCTCTGGGAAGGCCCCTCGCTTTTGGCATGTACACACCTGTTGTCACTGCACTGGCTAAATCAACAACTGATGATTTATATGACAGCTGCTTCTTGAACACGGCTGGCTATTTTTAATCTTAGATACTATTCGCCTAACATGAGAGTTGATAGTTTCAATATTGCCAGGATACTATGGGGTTCCATGATTAAGTAAGCTAAAACTCTACCCCCCATTATACATATATAGCATATATATGTACATAGACTGTACATGTGTATATACTATTTTACAGACAAGTGTAATACATAATTGTATCTATTATACAAATATCTGATGCATTACATGTTTAAGAAACATGGTTCCTGATTAAAAATTGGTTCTTTGGCCGTGTGCCGGTGGCTCACACCTGTAATCCCGGCTACTCAGGAAACTGAGATGTGAGGATCACGGTTCAAAGCCAAAGCCAGCCCTGGCAGGAAAGTCCATGAGACTCTTCAATAGACCACTAGTGAAGACCGGAAGTGGCGCTGTGGCTCAAGCGGTAGAGTGCTAGCCTTGAGCTGAAGAGCTGAGGGACAGCACCCAGGCCCAGAGTTCAAGCCCCACGACCGACTCCCCCAAAAAAATTTGTTCTTTGACTTTATAATAAGTTTGAATGTTGAAATACAAGCAGACGTTACCAAGAGGAGTTCAGTCATGTGGAAGCTGTCGTGAACAGGAGAAAGCGGCCCTGATGTGGAACCTGCTTGTTCCCGTCCCCACAGGAGCCCAGGCCTGTGTGCTGGTCTTTTCCACGGTGGACAGGGAGTCTTTTGAAGCAGTTTCCAGCTGGAGAGAAAAAGTAGTCGCTGAAGTTGGAGACATCCCAACTGTGCTTGTGCAAAACAAGATCGATCTCTTGGATGACTCTTGTATAAAGAAGTAAGGTGCTACTTTCAGGGGGGAGGGGGTGGTCATAAACATGAAAATTTTAATTTTGTGTGTGTGTGTGTGTCAGTCGTGGGCCTGAACTCTGGGCCTGGGCTCTGTCCCTCAGCTCTTCAGCTCCAGACTAGTGCCCTACCACCTGAGCCACAGCGCCACTTCTGGCTTTTTCTGCTTATGTGGTGCTGAGGAATCAAACCCAAGACCTCATGCATGCAAGGCAAGC